AAGAACAGAGGCTCCAAATCAGACACTAGATGTCTTTTCAGCATGGGATAGAGGTTTATCCAAGCAAAGAGTGTCTGACACCTGAAAGGTTACAAATCAAATATTGAAGATCATATGAGACAAATAAAAACCCTAGAACGCAATAAACACAGAATTCTTACCCAATATCGTGAGTGATGATGCTATCAATCAATTTCCTAGAACTTACAGTCAATATTGCATAAAGAGCAAATATCTCAGCCTTCATGTTCATAGATTTGAGCTTAGCAACAAGAGAAACCAAGAATTGTGAACCTATCTCATCAATTGCTAAAGAGAAAATCAGAGAACGAGATTTATAAACTAGAATATTTAGTTCCTTAGCTGATGAACAAGCACGAATCTTTCCAGCGACGTGATTAGCTTGAGTTGGATCTCGAACTATGCTTGAAAATTCTCCCCTGAAAATATCATTCGCACCCGCCATTGTTAGAGTAGTGAGAGAAAAATAGAAACAAAAGAACCAGATGAGAATAGAATGTTTTGAGAGGGTGGGGGAGAAATGTCAGTTACCTATAACCCAGTGATGACTGAGATCATGTTGATCGATCCGAGTGTTGAACATGTTGAACATGTTATCTTCTTCGTTAATAGTTTAAAGGAAATTAGGATTGTACCCCTTTTTAGTTAAATATTTCTATTTTGGTCCCTACGATTTTTTCCAATTACAAAAGTGAATGTAACTAAACAAGTTAATTTGTTTGTTGGGTAATGGGTTCAGTAATGACAAAGATTTCATTAATCTAGATGTCTATCAAAATTCAATATCAAAAACATATGTTCTATAGAAATAAAATAAGCAGAGAGTATGTAGATCCTTTGTTCATCAATATATAATGATTTATATGGATCCTTTTGTTAACACATACAAGGATGTAGTTCTTTGTATGATGATTTATATGGATTCGTGTTCTTCAATGTACAATGATTTTATATGGATTCTTTTGTTCTTTAAAATACAATAATTATATATGGATCTTTTGTATGTGTAATGATTTATATGGATCTGATAATTTGAACATGGATTTTTTTTTGTTAATCATCTTTTGTACAATGTTTTATAATTAAGGATGTTTTGTTCATCATACATTGTAAAATTAATAATTTCTATTGATCCTTTGTACATGGATCTAACTCTTTAAAATAATTTCATCCTTTTTTTTGCTTTAACTTGTTTTGTTTTTCATCATATCTGATTATTAGTTTTCCTCGTTGTAGTCCTATTAGAGTTATTATTTTTTTAATAATTAAGGATGTTTTGTTCATCATCCATTGTACAATTAATAATTTATATTGTTCCTTTGTACATACGGTTTTTTAATTCAAAGTTGTTTTTTGGAAATAATGTTTCTTCTGATCCCATATTGTTCCACTTCCATACACTATTAATTATTATTTGTGTCTTCATTTTTGTTTTTTGTTTTGTTATATGTTTTCTATTTGTTTGAATAAGTAATTTCGAATTTTTTTAAGGATTATATGTATATCTTGTACCGTTAATTTTATAAAATTTGCTAAACTAGTATCACTAAAAATAAATTGAATTACCATTTCACCTTTGTATTCATTGTACAAAATTTGCTTTATTTCTAAATATTTTTATTCATTTTTTAATGATCCAAAATCAATCCCAAAACCCTTTTTCTCAAACCCTTGTAATTTTGCAATTGTGCTTTGTCGTTGTGATATGTGAGAATGGTTATCGTCAACTTTTGTTCATGTTAAAGTTGCCAATCCTAATTATGTGTAAATGAATACTTGAAGCTAATAATAACATAATTTTAAGTTTTTTAAAAAAAAACTCTAAAAAATGTTGACTTTACAAAAAAGTGAGCATGTTAAATTGTTAATTATAAAAGGCAAATATTTCCCGACCAAAGCTAAGAAGAAACAACATCATCATTTATCATCTTCATGTCAATATCAAAAAAAATTCAAGTTGTCCATAAGTCCAAATACAAGTTAAAAATAGGCCCACAAGCGTTAAAACATAAGTCAAACTATTAATTTCAGTATCTAAAACACTGATATCTGATAGGAGTTAGACATTTGTGGATCTCTAATTCGTCGATCATGTCGCATCTCCATAAATTGGCGATGAAAATTCTTCGAGCAGTGCCCCAGTTCCTCAAGTGAGTGATGCAACCTCAAGGTTAACATGATGTATTCAAATTGCTATAAGCCACTCTCAAAATTGTAATATTTTGACCTTTAAATGAGTGATTGTCCTTTTAACGAATTATTTAATTGTTTAAGCTTAGTTTTTAATAGGCATGTTTAATTTCATAAAGTAATGTTTGATTTCACAAACCTATAACAAATCTAGCAATTCTGGTGTGTCCTTTGTTTTAGTTTGTAACTAGAGCTCTCTTTCTCACTCATAAAAACAACAGTTTTGTAACAAAATTTAAATAATAATTACATACAAACATTATGCAAAACTTATGCGAAAATTATTCAAAAGAGTATAATTTTTTTAAAAATACAATTTATTTGAAAAGAAAGTAAAATTCATGAAAACTATTTAAATATATAAAAATATTAAATTATAAATTTTTTGATCCATATTTGAAGGAAATATATTGAACGGGTGCAAAGAAAGTTTATAACTACATAATTAGTATCTAACATAAATTAGCATTACATATAAAATTTTATATGGTGCACTTGCATTCTCTATAACTTGAATAGTCTGATCGACCAACGTTATCAAGACAAGAGAATGAGTAATTTAATAAGTTTATTATTTGAGATACTATAAATAAAGAAGCACCCTGTCCTAGAAAACCAATAACATTAGACATAACATGATATAAATAATCATCTCTATCTATTAACCAAAGAAGCTGTGTCCTAATACCAAAAAAAAATCAATATTCCAAGCCACTAAAAATGAAAACATTAAACTTGACAAACATAATGATCACCGACAATATAAAAACTGAACCTCAACAAACCTATATTTGGTAAAAGAGATTTTTCGATTTCAAGCAACCCACCATTTGATTAAGAAGTTGTTCAGCTTTTCAATTACAGTTTGTTTATAGACTAGTACAAAAAAATGAAGTACATCAATTTCGTTTCCAGATCTAAGTTTGAACAATACTTGTGTTTGTGTGTGTTTTGTTTTTACACAACAAATATGAAACATATATTATGTGAATAAAAAAAAGAAATTTGTGGTGAGTCAATGCCATGTGGATTAACAGATAGGCATGTACAAAGTGTTTCCACAACAAGGCCAATGGCTAATTTTGCATGTTGTGTCTGCTTCTTTAACTGAACCAAAGTACAAAATCACATTTCGTCTTCTCCCTTAAAGACTCTATAAACAAGAAGAAAACAAGACTAATCAAGAAAGAAAAATGGCAGAAGAGAGATCAGAGTTAACAAAGTGCTTCTTTCCTCATCAGATTATTCTCTGTTTCTTTCTTTTCTCACAAGCTTCCGTTGCCTCTAGCAACACTAGTAGTGTAGGAGTGAACTGGGGAACAATGGCGAGTCACCAGCTTCCACCTGAAAAGGTGGTGAAGATGCTACAAGACAATGGTTTCACTAAGCTGAAACTGTTTGAAGCCGACCAAAACATCTTAGACGCTCTAGTTGGCTCAGACATCGAAGTCATGATAGGAATACCAAACCGGTTTCTTAAAGAAGTGGCTCAAGATACATCTGTTGCAGCTTCATGGGTTGAAGAGAACGTTACTGCTTATTCTTACCATGGTGGAGTCAACATCAAGTACATAGCTGTTGGAAACGAGCCTTTCCTTCAGACATATAATGGTACTTATGTTGAGTTCACTTTACCAGCTCTCGTCAACATCCAACGAGCATTAGAGGAAGCTGATTTGAAAAATGTGAAAGTCACTGTTCCTTTCAACGCAGACATCTATTTTTCGCCTGAAGCAAACCCTGTTCCATCAGCTGGAGACTTTAGGCCTGAGCTTAGGGATGCAACGATTGAGATAATCAATTTCTTGTATTCACATGATTCACCTTTCACGGTCAACATATACCCTTTCCTTAGTCTCTATGGAAATGCTTACTTCCCTTTGGATTTTGCCTTCTTTGATGGGACTAACAAGCCTTTAAGAGATGGAAGTTTGGTCTACACCAATGTGTTTGATGCAAATCTCGACACTTTGATTTGTGCTATGGAGAGATATAGCTTCTTGGGAATGAAGATCATTGTGGGAGAGGTCGGATGGCCTACTGATGGAGACAAGAATGCTAATGTAAAGAGTGCAAAGAGATTTAATCAGGGGATGGTAAAGCATGCTATGTCTGGAAATGGAACGCCTGCGAGGAAAGGAGTGGTCATGGATGTGTACCTTTTCAGTCTTGTTGATGAGGACGCCAAGAGCATTGCGCCAGGGACTTTTGAGAGACATTGGGGGATCTTTGGGTTTGATGGGAGACCAAAATATGAGCTTGACTTGTCGGGTAAAGGCAATGACAACCCTTTAGTTCCTGTGGAAGATGTGAAGTATCTGCCCAAAACTTGGTGTGTTCTTGATCCTAATGCATCTAACCTCGATGACTTGCCTGATAACATCGACTATGCTTGTAGCTTATCTGATTGCACAGCACTCGGGTATGGATCCTCTTGTAACCATCTTACTGCCATAGGCAATGCTTCATATGCCTTTAATATGTATTATCAGATGCACGATCAGGAAACTTGGGACTGCGATTTCTTGGGGTTGGGTTTGATCACAGACGAAGATCCATCTGATGAACTTTGTGAGTTCCCTGTGATGATTGATACAGGAAATTCACCGAGGTTGCAGCCTGGATCTTCGAGAGTGTTGACCAGATTTGCAGCCACAGTTTTAGTTATGTTGGTCCTTACCATCTTGTAGTACGTACCTGTTGGTTATGTCATTGTAAATCTCTCAAATTTTACTTCCTGCAGAAGAATCTTTCAAACTAAAGATTGTTGCCTTCGAATAGCATAGCCATGGATAATTACACAACTTCATTAATAAGAAGAAATCGAATCAGAAAATTACATATTACTAGAGTGATCAATTCCAAAGGGAACTATATTATAAACGTCAAGAGTCTCAGTGGGATTAACAGAGAAATGAGATTTCAATCAGAAGATGCCGGTAAACATGTCAGATTCCCTTGGGTAATAAAGTATCTTCTCAAAGATGTCTTTCAGCTTCTCGAGTTGAACCATCTCGTCGAGGATTCTATCTTCAGACACTTTGTTGTTAATCGGCTTATCATTCTCATTGGTAGAAGAGAAGACCAGTTCGGATATGCGATATTTCTCACTTTGCCTACAGTACTTGTTCCACTCAGATGTGTCTTTAACCATGAGATGGTAAATGAACACAGCACGCTTTTGGCCAATTCTGTAAGCTCGACTTATGGCTTGGCTTTCAACAGAAGGGTTCCAAACGACATCAAGAAACACAACTCTTGAAGCGCCAACTAGACTGATACCCTCGGAACATGCTTTTGTTGATGCCAGTAGAACTTTAGATTCACTGTCTGGATTGTTGAAGTTGTTGATCAGATGCTGCCTGTCTCTTTGTTCAACTTTACCATGCATAAAGAGAATTTCTTTCCCTTCAGTCCAGCCAAATACTACACTGAGCTGCTCCATGATCAACTTTAGAGTGTCAATGTATTGGCTATACACCAACACTTTCTCTTTCACTGTTTGACTGATGTATATGAAGTCGATAAGGAACTTTGTTTTCACACCTTCCTTGTAGTCAAGTCTAATCCTCTTCAGAATTCCTAATGCTGCAGGCCCAATAACCAAGTCTTCCTTCTTTGTCGGATTGCAGCACAAATACAAAGATGGGTGTACTGAAACAGCTGAAAGCTTGTGCTCAAATTCAAATGTGTTTTGAAAAGTATCAATTCTGTCTAGAATTTTCTTCTGTTGAAAAGGCGGGTTCAACACCACAACACAGTCTCTTAGACCTGGAAGGCTTTCTTGAAGGATGTTTCCTTCGTGGAAATGCACAAAAGGAGCAATCACAGCCTTAAAATCCACCAATCCAATTTCTTCGTTCACCCTTCCGTGTTCTCCTTCTTGGCTCCACTTGCCAAGTTCTTGTAGTCTCGAAGATATCGTATCTTTCAAAGATGGTCTTGCCAGGCATAAGACATTAGAAAGTTCCTTGAAATTATTTTGGAACAGTGTCCCTGAAAGAATGATACGCTTTTCTGTTCTGACTTCAGTAAGCACTTTCCAAATGAGACTATTCTGGTTTCTGGGAGTGTGGCCCTCGTCAAGGACCAGCAACCCCGGCAATTCTAGCAACATCTTCCTAAACACTTGCATTTCTCCAGCGTTCTTATTTGCCGCGAGCTTCTCATACAGAGGGTAGCTAACTCCAAGTACGCTTTTCTGATTCCACCACGAATATAACTTAACCATACGGATGGAGTTATGTTGCCTATTTCCATTTAAACGTGAGACAGCTGAAGCGTCCTCATACTTTGAGAACTGCAGACTATTCATGTTATAAAATGGGATATTTGTGTTCCATTTCTTGAATTCTTCTTCCCACGTACGCATTAGAGTTGCAGGAGCTATGACCACAGGATGGCTATCTGGGAACCGTTTTAAGTATGACAGAAGAAAAACGATGGTCAAGAGTGTCTTACCAGTTCCAGCCTTGTGCGAAATAATGCATCCGCCACTTTCCTTAACCCCTACGGTGTTTAACTCATTAAGTTTTGTTGTCCCAGCTAAGTTCCTCCAGATAAATTCAAAACCTTCTTGTTGGTGTGGGTACAAAGTATCTTTGATGCCAGGGACATATTGCCAAACAGTTCCTTCTGTATTATCCAAAGGGGCAACATATCTGCTGGGATCTGAAGCATCAAACTCAAGCCTGTTAGGTAAAGGGTCACCCTTTTTATCTCTACATTTCGTATTGTCATTAACACGAGGACGATACTTTTCCTGCACAATGCCAAAAAATGAACATGTTACTAAATACAAAAAGAAAATCAACAAATTAGTACAACTTAATCTAGGATTTCGGAGTTCAATGAATGTTACCATGGCTGGTGAGATGTCTTTGATCTCGACAGCCACATAAGAACAGTGGCAGCATTTCAAACCAATTTCCTCATCCAGGACAAAGTCGTGCGTCTCTTTGCTACATAACATATCTCCATTCTGATAAATCAAAAAGCAAGTGATTTAATATCATGGCGAAACAAAGCTAAGACAAAGCTGTAGGTAAAAAGCAGGCAACAAGATAGTCAGGCATAGCAAGGGAAAAATAGAAGAATTAGTAGTCTTACTTTAGCAGGAGTAGATGAGTGCATTCCTTCCAATGTTAGAGCAAGGGTCATATCTTCCCACAAGCTGTCTAATTCTTTCTCCTCCTCTGTTTTCTCGATAAGCACAGGCTCCTCACAGCCGAATCTCAAGTTTACAGGAGGTGATTCTTTTGTCAAGCAGTCTATTGTCTCTTGTCCATCACATAGTTTTTCGCCAGCAACAAAAGTCTCACCCGTCAAGTGGTTCTTCTCCTTCACCCTATGGAAACTCCTCCGTTCCCTTGGTTTCCCCTGTTCATTTACCTTTTCACTTAGGCTCTCCCTAATTAAAACATCTTCTCTACAATCAACCTCTGCTGTTTTGTCCCCTGAGCAAATGTCTTCCCCCAAAATGTATGTGCTCTCCCAAATAGATTTAGCTAGCAGGTTAAACACATGCAAGTTATTCTCCCTACGAGAAGTCCTCGACTTTTTATGGTTGTATACTTTTTCACTTGGGTTCTTTTTTTCTTTAGCAACGTCTCTGGCATCACCCTCTGCATCCCTCTCTTCATCCTCAGAACAAACGAGACCACTATCAGAGCTATCTACATCAGAAGAATCTGAAGACTCCACCACGTAATCAGATGAGTCAGAATCAGCATCTTCACCATCACTATGACTTTCACCAGAATCCCTATCTCGGCCACTAACTTCCTCGCCTGAATCCGTCCCTGATTCCTCCACAGAATCAATACTCAGACTTACAACCTCATCATACTCAGAAATCTTCTTCCCACCCCTCAAATTAATATCATCCAGAAGAATATCACAAACCCCGGAACCAACATTGCTATCTTCAACACGTTCGTTCTCTTTCGAGTTAGTCCCGATAAAAACAACATCTTCATCCGGAGACAAAGGATTCAAAGGAGAAGTTTTCTCTTCACCCCTCAAATTACCATCATCAACATCAAAATCACAAACCCTAGGAGACATAACCGAAGCAGAACCAACATTGCCACCTTCCTCTACATGCTCATTCTCTCCCGGGATAGTCCCAACAAAAACAACATCATCATCATGAGGAGACAAAGGCTTAAAATTCGAAGTTTTCTCCTCACCTCTCAAATTATCATCATCGATATCAAAATCACAAACCTTATCACCACAATCAAGCGATTTCGATTCCAAAACCTCAAAATTAGAACCAACACCATCAACAATACATTCACCCACTCGCTTACCTTCTGGATAATCAGTTCTGATAAATTCAACATCGTCGTCGTCGTCTTCATCCTCACTCACTTTTCTCCGCCGCCGTTTCTTCTTCCTCGGAGATGGCAAACAAGCATCGCGCATGCTCTTCTGCCCCGTCCTCGAATTTAACGAACCCTCAGAATCACCAATCCCTTTTGATTTATTCAGAATCGAGTTCAAGTAAGACTCAGTTCTCGATCGAGTTCTTCTAGCAACACAAGTAGTCATATCCATGGCTGAAGAGAAGAAGAAAAAAAACCCTAGAAGAGTGAATTCGACGACGAAGAAGAAGGAAGAAGAAGAAGAAGAAGATTGAAGAAGCTGATGATGGGGCTGTCCCGTCTTTGCCTTTGGCGGTAACGATTCAACTTTCTCGAAAACATTAATAAAAAAGGGTTTTTGTTTTCATTATGGAAAAGTGTAATAATGGAAAAGATGAGGGGCTAAATAGCAAATTATCAGAAAATTTTCTATTGGTGGGGAATTCTCAGAATTGATTGACACGGGAGTTTCAAAGCTTGTCGGAGTGTGTCAGTAGAGAAGTGGTTGTTGTAATTGGTTCAGTCTATTTTAATTTCGTTTGGGGAAAATGAAAAGTTTTTAGTATATATGTTTGCTTAGGATTCTCTCATTTATGTTTAGATTAGAGTCTTTGATGTGACTAATCAAAGTGTAAATGTTTTGTAACTGGAAAAGTTTTATATTTTGCAAACAATTTTTTTTTGTTTCGTTTGTATGTATTGATTGTATCAATTTGTTATGCTTTGTTATTTTCTTTTTGACAATTATCAAAATCTAGTGAAAATTATAAATCTCACATGGCAAAATTCCCTGACACAGGTGTACAATCCAATGTCATTCAAAGATGTAGTATGTGTACATGATGCATAAAAGAAATCTGGAGGTGATTGGTTTCTTATTTGGATTTAACATGTACAAAGAAAATTTATATATTCATTAAAAAAAAGTTTTAGTTTCTAGTCAAATATGTTTTCTATGTATTTTTTGGTATTTCAAGTATTTTATATATTTTTAGTTTGCGGTTATTGTTGAATATATATTTGTATTTCAGATATTTAGGTTGTGAATGAAGGTACAGATAAAAGACAGTTCTAGTGTTTGTGCGGGAGAACCGTTTCATATGCAGTTGTTGTGTCAAAAATGCTTAATCTGCATTTATTCCACATGATCCGCTTTGCCTAATCCGCTTTCTCCATTCAAAGCCTTAGATACCCAATGATATTTCAAGTCAAATTCAAGACACTAATCTAACGTAGTAACATAGATGAGTTTAAGCGGTTTTCCCAAGTGCAAGCTTTTCTATCTATGTGAAGCTCCATCCTAGATGATCTTCGAAGAAAACATTATGGTTACATGGACTAAAATTTTTCACAAACGATAACAGTATACTTTTTATATGCTTATTTTCACTTATGTTTAGACATTTTATACCACATCTTTGGGTTTGTCTGGTTTAATTGGAAATCAATCAATTTGTAGATTTTTTTAAAAAGAAAATAAATAAATTATATATAGTCCAACCATTAAACCATAACACATTCATCAGCTCTAAAAGTAGTGACAGGGATTATAATAACGATCTTAGATTTTTCTAACGATACCAAAAACACTGACATTACCTCTAAAAGTTGTCAGAGCGACATTTTTACTATCTTTTAACCATTTTGATGTTGCTATTGAGGTTTATTTTTATGTATTCGATCGCTAACGCAGTGAATACAAAACGAAATACATATATAACTATATAAAGATAAATCAAACATTTATATACTCGTATGTATCGGTAAATTTAAAAAGCCTATAGTTTAAACTTTTCATTGTTGGATCGATACTGATTTGAATACTAATGTTTTTTCATATTCAGGTTTTTGTAGTAATGTGGACCTAACATTAATATTTCATAAAATACAACTCTCTTTTTCTTTTTTTTTTAGAGAATAAACTGTATATATACAAACTCATATATTATGTTTTAACTAAAAGAATAATCAACAATACCATAACAATAAAGTTTGAAAAAGTTGCTATTTAAACCATCTATTTCTTACAAAAGGGTAGTCGACACTAATCAAACTTTTACATTAAAAATTGGTTAAATATTTTATGATTTTTTCAAAAAAAAATACTTTTTGGTCGACTGAAGTTTTATTAACAAACTTGGGTTCACACCAAGATAGATACAAAATACAAAAGGAGGAACTATAAATCGGTGAACGACATAAATGTTTTCGGAACCATAGCTGGATCCGGAGAAAGACAAAATTTCTTTAGAAATTAGGCCCTATGAAAAGAAAACTAAAAACATTAGAAGTACAAAGCAAAAGATTTCAAATGAAAAGTGTAAGAGGGTAAAATCAGCAACTAAGAAAAAGCACAAGGCTTAAACCTTAGACCAAAAAGCACAATAAAACACACTTCTTTTTTTCAGCTTACTCGTTTAGTGTATCTAAATAACATCTACTTCCTCTTATTATGGTAAGAGCTGAACTTTTGAAATTAATAAGTAGAGATTTCGTAACCCGGTAAGCTAAACAAGTAAGTTGAAAAAATCTCAAACAAGTTTCCGAATACGACGATAAAAACAAATAATCTTAAGACAAAGCTAAATGAAATTTTCCATTTAAGAATTTCTAACACAACTAAGATGGCAAATTTAATACGGTTAACTATTTTAGTTTTCTTTTAAATAGTTATCAATATAAAAATATATTTTGAAAATAATTACGATGAAAAAACTCAATTCATAGAAGTATTTATCGGTGTTATTATTATTACTATATAGGATTTTTTCATTTTATGTTGAGTTTCAACGAATTTAAAAACCTGAATTTACTAAATCCAATAAAAATATAGAATCGTTTCTCGAAATTGAAACATTCGATTTTGTAACGCAAACTAATTTTGGGTACCATACAAAACAAATAAATAAATATAGGGCCAAAATCTTAAATTTAAGAAAACACAATGGACCAAAAATTGATAAAAAAAAATTTGCTACCAACGCGTTGATCGGTTTAAGCTCCAAATCCGGTTTTTTATCATCTTTCTGATCACCAGATTCGAATCCCATTTTCGTTTCAATCTCTATAGGTTCTTGGTTGATTTTGCTTCTGAGAGAGGCCAGATCCGAAGTTTCTCGAACGAATTCGAAGAATAATAATGTCGGTGAGGCATGGGCAATCGTCGTATCGAGATCGGACGGGCGAATTTTTCAAAATTGTGGAGAGTCTAAGGGGATCGATTGCTCCGGCGGCGAATAGTAATGTGCCGTATGGTAATAATAGAAGCGACGGTGGGAGAAGAGAGGATCTGAATAAACGATCTGAGTTCAACAGGAGAGCTGCTCAGATTGGTTTAGCTATTAATCAGACCTCGCAGAAGCTCTCGAAGCTTGCGAAACGTAAGTTGTTTGATATTAGTGGCATCTTGTGAATCTGGATAAGTTATAACCTAATGGCTTTAGCTTAAGAGTTAGAAATGGTCTAGATCGTAGCAGGAGATATCATTTGATTGGATTGAGAAGCATAGGCACCACCATGGCTTCTGCCACACAGGGGCGTAAACTCGTGGAACCGATTTGTTTAGTGGTGTTAATTTCTCAAGTGCTTATTTTAGTACTTCAGAACGTTTCATTGTTATAGTAGGGAATGGAAGAGGCTGTTTTTTGTGTGTGAATAATGTATTAACTTTGTGAATTTGTTTGCAAATCAGTTGCAAAGAAGACATCAGTTTTTGATGATCCGACTCGGGAGATACAAGAGCTGACAGTAGTCGTCAAGCAAGAGATCTCTGCTTTAAATACTGCTCTTATCGACCTTCAAGTGTTCCGCAGCTCTCAGAATGATGAAGGGAATAACTCTAGAGATAGGGATAAAACTACTTTCTCAGCAACAGTTGTTGACGATCTAAAGAATCGTCTGATGGACACTACCAAAGAGTTTAAGGATGTTCTTACTATGAGAACTGAGGTTCTTTCTTTGTTTCCTTGGATTTCTTATCGATAAAGCATGAATATTCAGAAGGGGATATTACCTTATTGTTAGTATAATGATGCTAGTCTGAGCTATGAATTACATGTATGATATTGCAGAACATGAAGATCCATGAAAATCGAAGGCAACTTTTCTCTTCAAACGCTTCAAAAGAATCAACAAACCCATTCGTTCGCCAGCGCCCTTTGGCTGCTAAGGCTGCTGCTGCTAGTGAATCTGCTCCTCTTCCATGGGCAAATGGGGCTTCTTCATCGTCATCTCAGTTAGTCCCATGGTAAAGTACTATTAACCTAATAACCACAGTTGCAAAATACAGCTTACCTCTTGAAATCAGGCTAAGAATTTGTCTAATGGGAGTCTAGAAAGTTGCTATGTATTTACTAGAATCGTATACCTGTACCATGGCAGTCGTTGCTCAATTTAGAATTTGGCTTGTCAAGAACTCAAGACCGTACATAATCTCTACATTTACAGGAAGCAGGGAGAGGCCGAATCTTCACCATTGTTGCAGCAGAGTCAACAACAACAACAACAGCAACAGATGGTCCCCTTGCAAGACACATATATGCAGAGCCGAGCTGAAGCTCTACACAACGTCGAATCAACAATCCATGAGCTAGGCAGTATCTTCACACAACTAGCAACCATGGTTTCCCAGCAAGGGGAGATTGCTATCAGGTTGGTCTTCCTCATGTTGATAATGTTTTAAGATTCATTGAACACATTGTTTGGAAACGTCAAAGTATAGATATAATATGGTACCGGTTTGTACAGGATCGATCAAAACATGGAAGATACATTAGCGAATGTGGAAGGCGCACAGAGCCAACTGGCCAGGTATCTCAACAGTATATCGTCAAACAGATGGCTGATGATGAAGATTTTCTTCGTACTCATTGCATTTCTCATGATTTTCCTCTTCTTCGTGGCGTAAACATTGAGTTCTGAAAATTGATTTTAAAAGAGTTTCAACATCTAGACGAGCTTCTTCTTCTTTCTTTTTTTCTTGTCGTATCCTATTGACATGTAAAGACTAAAAGAGAAAAAAAAGGATCTTGTGCTCTGTTCAGATTAATAGAGATATATAATGTCACTTCCATGTAAAATTGCTTTCAAGTTTTCCAAACAATTTTTTGTGATTCTGCTTCTCTTTTCACTACCACTTCTTTTGCTTACCATTAGGAATGTTTCTTATTCCGTTTGTACTTTGTTTATTGATTACTCTGTTATTTATTTATTTGGTTTTGTATCATTTCCTGTTAAGTTAAAAGAGTGGTATATTGACAGATTGATCAAGAGAGACGACTTATTAGAAAATAACTCATACTGTTTGGAGTAGTTTGAGAAGGATAAAATCCTGTAAATATATGAATTGATGGTAACACACTATGCCGTAAAAGTAAAGAGAGACAACTTATTAGAAAATATTTACTAATCTACGAGTTGAACAAAATATTTAAAAAGCTGCAACACAATAATCCACCAATCCATGAGGTAAGGTAAGCAAGTATCGTATGTTGTTTGGTAAGTCGCTTTTTCATACGTTTAGCTCTTCCAGTCCAGGACTTAATGGCTTAAAGAGAGAATCCACTTCTGTCTCATCTACCTCGTCTAAGCTTGCTGGTTTCCATTTTGGATTCTGCGGAAAAAAACCCCACTAATGAATGAGCTTATAGTGAGGAGAGACAACAGAGGCTAACAAACAGTGACTGAGACATGTCTAAGTTTATAAACTCTGCTCGTCAAAATTTCCCCTAAAATGGCATTAGTGGACGCAAACTTCATGTGACAGACTGAATTACTGAATGTATAAACAGCAGAAAGAGAAATGATGGACAAAACCTGGTCTTTGTCAACCAAGACTGCTCTAACACCTTCAGTGAAATCACTGCGCAAAGCAGATCTTAGAGCAATACGGTACTCAGTTTTCATCACACCATTAAGCTTCAAGATGGAAAGAGAACTTAAGCCTTACTAGTGAAAACTTGTAACGTAATTGGAAAAAAGAGTTTGGACTCACCGTTGCCATCTCGTTGTCAGTTTTACCCTTTGCACAAAGAACTTTGGAGAAGTACTTATGCGTTAGGTGAAGAGAAAACGGTGCCCCTTTCACAAGGCCTTCGAGTGTTTCGTTAGCCCATTCTGCAACTGTACACAAACGTTGTATCCAAGTTTCGGAGGCAGGATAAAACGATTTCAATTTGATCATATTGTAAACAACAAATAAGTGAACATGTATCCATAAGGTTTCAGTTAGAACTCGCAGAAAGTCAAAAATATGTTTGATTTCATCAAAATGCACAGAAGTTATTTTATAAGTAGCCACTACTAGAGATGTGCAGAGGTTCTATTATCGTGAAGAGTAGTCTTTCTTATTGATACCACACACGCACCAAGGGTTTGGTATTTCTATATAAAAAACACTAAGAAAACATGGAACAAAAATAATCTTCACCGAAACCTTAAAAGCGTGATGTATATAATACCTGAAGCTTCAGTGCTCTGCTGGTACTTCTTCAGCTCTTCTATTGTTTCCTTAACAGACTTACTTGCACTAAAAGCTGATTCTATCTGAGGCAAAAACATTTTGAGGTGGGATTCAGATTCAGGACCACTGCTGTAATTTGATAAAGTTGATTGGATGTCTTGATGGGGATCTTGGGAACTGTATCACCAACACATATGCTTCATGAGAGACAAAAAAGGAGTAATACAAAAAGCTCATTGATATGAAATATGCACATGAAATCAACCAAAATATGCGAACAAAACAGTCTGCGAAGGCCTACAGGTCGGCTGACAAAATGGCTTCTTTTAGTGAACCTAGTTTTTCAGATGGTACATAATGTGTTCCGAGGCCCACAAACAGTGCATCTGAAGGTTTGGAAATTCTTCTCCCAGTCATACCAAGGTAAGCACCTGCAGAATTTGATGGTTGAAAAGTTGTAGTTAAAGAATATTACAGTGATTGATATGTGCATTGTAGAGGATCTCAGCAATATGAAACATACTTCTTTGAACATAATGATCAGGTTAACAATTGACATGAAAGCAAGAAAATTCCTTCTACAATGAATCTGACTGAATTACCGAAAGCAAAACTTGGGAGGTACTATAGCAATAATCACAAGTTTTGTAATTTTTGAGAACGAACCTAAGCTGACCTAGAGACAATATAACTGACCTTTGCTCCCTTATTCTTTAAAATATTCTAATATAAAGTTAAGATCCTGTTAATATGAACATACCAGTAGATCCTCTACCAGGGCTTTGAGCTGCTATATATGAAAAACCAACATCTGGAAACAAGCCTATTCCATTTTCTGGCATTGCGAGGACCGTCCTCTGGAAATAGGTAATAAAACAATGACAGAGGTAGGAATCCATGCTAAATGTTATCAGCACAAAATTTCAGATCAAGTATATACTATTTCTACCTCTGTTATCACCCGGTAGCGGCCATGTCCAGAAAGACCAATACCAAAGCCCATTGTTATGCCATCCATTAAAGAGACATATGGTTTTTTGTATCCAGCAATCTTGCATATAAGGCCATACTCAGCTGTAAATACCTAAAAGGAAGCAAAGTAATGAAGTTAGGACATCATACAAAAGAAAAGAAAAACATTTTGGAGGGTAATCAAGTGAACTAAAGCAACTAAAGGTGAAAACAAAAATTATGCGAAACTGAAGGTGAACAAGGGCCGCTTCATGGAATATCTTTAAAAGCCTAGACTAAAGAGTCAGTACCACACAGATTAATTTGATCAAAATAGACCACCTACTGTTACCAAGGTAGAAGTTTTCTACTACTTCAAGTATGTTTATAAAAATTACAGTATAATAGAAAAATGTGCTTGCTTTGTACTATCAGGTAACACAACACGTATTGGTTTTCTAAAACACTAAATTCACTGCTGTTGCATGTCTAATCGATTCTGTTTCTGTTTCAATAAGCTTCATATCTTGACTTATGGAAAATAAAAAGAACACAGTCAGACCTCTATCATATCAGACAACTGATTTTTGGTAGTAATCTCCTTCACATCACCTCCTGCAGATAAACTTAGACCATGGTTACAAAATTTCCATCCATTTAAAACAGCTTTGATCCAAGAAAATGAATCCACAAAAACCTCACAAAAAAAAAACAAAACACAGAGGACAAAAAGCCAAGGCAGCCAATAACACATGATTCATATCTGCAAGACTGCAACAACTCTTTTAATATTCCTCCCTGCACCATTCATCAAATGGTCACTCCAAAACCATCACAGAAGCACTAAAAATCTAGCATTAACCAAGACTAATTCTCTATAAAATGCAACTACAATCTTAAAAACCAGAATCCACAAATCAACACACACACAAAAGAAGGTTCTTTACCAGCACAAAAGGCCCGAGGTGTGCTTCCTTCTACGATAACACATTTGACTCTAGGATCAAATTCCCATTCATCAAGCAAGCTCTTGTACTTCAAATCCATTTCTGCAAAATTAGTTTCTTCAATGTATTCAACTTGGGTTTGACTCATTACATAAAAAGCTTAAGCCTTTCTTAATACGGACCTAGATTCATGGCGTTAAGAGCTTTAGGCCGATCAAGAGTGATGAAAGCAACTCCATTTGGATAAACATGTCCTTTCACGAACTCGTCGCTTCCACTGGCCATCACAGTAGTGAACTCCCGACGATGCGATGAAGAGAGCTTACAGCAGCGAATAGAAATGGCTGGAGAGGTTCTGGAGAAGAAGATGCGAGCAGAAGCCAGAGACAAAGTCTTGATCATTACTGTTATTTCCCAATGCCAAGTCTGTCGGAGAAATCAAACATCAGACACAGTAATTGTGATCCTGACTGATCCAACTACCAAAGTACTCTACCTCAGTGGAAGGGTTCACTACTCTGGAAATATGTCCTTCGGCCCAATACTAACAGGCCCAGTAGTGATTATGTTAGAATGATGAAATAAAAAAGATTTTCCTTTTTTTTATTAGACTGTCCAACTTTTTTTTTTTTTGTCTTATTTATTTTATAAGATAATTTACAAATTTTGATACTTATTTTTTATTGTCATGTGATATTTTTGACTCTTTAAATTTTATAATTAGTTGAATTTTTCTTTTTGAAAAATTGTTAAATAAATTTTAGTTTCTAATTTTTTTTAATATTCGTGCTTTTATCTAAAACATCATTAAAATAGTTAGTTCATCTAATTTCTAATGTAAAAATAGTGTTAACACTTTTTGGAAGTAATGCAACATTTTGAAACTTGCATAACATCATATTCTAAAAGGATTTTGGTAATCCTACACAAATATCAAGATAGTTACTTACTAAAGGCACCTCCGGTGGAAGTTGCTTAATGGTTTTTTGGCAAAAAAGTAAATCTAAAATAAAATTAAAATACATCAATATTTGAGTACCGCTTCTTCTTGAAGCAATGTCAGTAACGATACTTAACACAATATGACATTACAGTCATTTATTATATTATTATTTTATTTTTAAGTGTTTTACATAGGGTACTGCAGTAAAGATGGTTTAAGATAATTCAGTCCGATGGAGATTTCGAACTTTCAAACGAATTTGACAAACAAACAATTCTAACTCGTCCAAACTATTACTAATCAACATTTCATCTTCAAACCTCAATTTTTTTTTCTTCTCAAGAATCCAACCTCAATATTAACCTCACAACTTCTAGTGAAATATATACACCAAAGAAAAAAACTTGAAAACCACAAAATCAGTATAACTGTATCTTGTTTATCGTAGTTCAATTAGAGTTATGACACAATTACTCAAATCTCTATAGTTAAAAGAAGACAATAATTTGAAAAAGGGCTATGTGATTTCTCGCCTCTCTAACCATAACCTTGACCAGGTCTTTTAGCATTTCTCATCTCCATTTCCCGTGTGGTCTGAACCTCAGTGCTCGACAAGGAAGGGTACAAATCATACTCACTGATAGGATTACTATACAAATCTTGAGTCTCAAGCATTCCAACTTTCCTAAACTTGTTCATGCCATCATTGTCTTGGCTCGAGTCATAATCCGTGCTTCCTCCAGATGAGCCATACACATTGCTATGACCCGGTGTGATCCCTTGGTTCAAATCTGACGGTGATATGTTTCCTTCTAGCACACGTGCAACCTGCTCATTTTTTTTAGACCAAGTAAGCATTAGATTAGTATATCATTAGCATTTTAATTAAATGACTAATGTTTGGCAGAATGAAAAAAAAAAATGTAGCTAAAACATGTTGGAACATTCTCCTTCAAGTCAGGTTTTAATCAAGTGGTGTTGCATGAACACTAAACCCAAATCTAACAATAATTTTTCAGGATAAACCAAAAACAAAACCGGAATCAAAATAAGTACAAATAACCTATTTTTTAATTTTAAGTTATCATACTATAAATAAATATAATTATACATATATAAATAATTCTAGTAATTTTTATACAAAGCCAAAAACTTTACAAGTCTTTTAGTTCTAGGCTTCTAATCAAGTTACCTGGTCCATGCGAGGTCTACGGCGAGCTGTAGAGCGGACACAAGCTGCGGCACAAGCAACCATACGAGCCATCTCTTCTCTATCATACTCATTATTCAGCTTTGTATCAACCACAACCTCATAGTTTCCTATCTCGGATACTTGGTTAAGCAAAGGTCGTGCCTGTTCCAATTATTCAAAAACATAGATTTTGCTTCATTAATCAACAGTCACGTTGTAGAACTTACGTGCAGTGTTAGATTATTTGAAATTTATATTAATTACCCAATCAACCAAGCTATTATCTGCATGGACATTGTTTGCATCAATAGGGCGACGCCCTGTTATTAGCTCCAAAAGCACAACACCAAATGAGAAGACGTCAGATTTTTCTGTGAGCTTTCCACTTGAAGCATATTCTGGAGCCAAATACCTAAAGATCCAATACCAAAAGGTTCAGAATATGTAAACATTCACACAAAAGTACATATTTAGTAGCTTCAAGATTCTCTTTACCCAAAGGTTCCCATAACACGAGTAGATACATGAGTGTTTGTATCAGAAGCAATCTTGGCAAGACCAAAATCAGCAACCTATAAGATAGAGAGACACACACTGCTTAATGCTTCACCAAAATATCATACCAAGTTACATGTTATGCCTTCATGCATGCATGGAAACATTAAAAAGGAAAGAAGAAGAAAAAAAAAAGATGATTGATATATATACCTTTGCTTCAAATTTGAAATCAATCAGTATGTTTGACGCTTTGATATCACGGTGGATAATTTTAGGATTGCCTGAATAAACAAACATGCATATGGGTTATTTTATTTTTTCTCAAAAGCTACTCAATATATTTTTTTCATATATATCTTAGACTTACAATTTTCATGAAGATATGACAATCCTTTGGCAGAACCAATAGCAATCTTCAATCTTGAACTCCATTCCATTGGAGGCCGTCCTTTCCCTTTCAAAAATTCAATTCCCAAAAAAAATAAAATCGTCACTAATTGAAAACATTAAAGCATGCAATAACTAAAACGTACGTATAAGAAGAGTTTAGGATTTTTTCACTAACCATGGAGGTGAAACTCGAGAGTGTTGTTGGGAACAAACTCATAGACAAGCAATCTTTGAGCATCGGCGATGCAATAACCGACAAGAGCAACCAAATGTCTGTGGTGAACTCTACTAATGATCCCAACCTCTGCTTGAAACTCTCTTTCTCCTTGTGAACTCCCTTCTTTCAACTGTTTAACAGCAACTTCTTTCCCATTACGCAACATACCTTTGAACACGTATCCGAAACCGCCTTGTCCTAACAAGTTGGCCTCAGAGAAGCCATTGGTGGCTCTTGAAAGCTCATCGTAATTGAAAGTGCCTTGATAGATGCCTAATGCAAGCCCTGGAGATTGTGGAGGAAGAACCGATTGATCCGAGTAGTTTGAGTCGTAGCCACCGCTGCTAGTACTACTGCTCATGAAGTGTAGAGGACGTGGTGGACCTGGTGGTGCCAGTGATGTCCTCACGTGATCCGATTGTCGTGACGATGCATTTTGTTGCTGATGCCCACCGTAATAAGGGCCTCCAGCTGACAAACACAAGAACATCAGATCTTTCAAAATACAAGTTTGAAGATGTCTACAAACAAAAATGTAATATAATTTTCGCAAATTGCATATTCATATATTTTGTTTCCATATTCATATATTTTGTTTCCCTATATATTGGAAAATCACCTACGTGCAAAGAAAATGTAGATAAACTATAGAAAATGTAGATAAGTCATAGAAAATGAGGAATAATTAATATTAGTTCAAGATTTGATTTCTTGATTTAATTTAATTTAATTTGAGGTATTTGTTTTACCAAATTGAGAAGGAGGTGCTTCTTCGTCTCTTCGTCGTTTCTTCTTACAAATGAAAAAAATCAAAGTCAATACCATAACAAGTATAGCAACTCCTCCGATGGCGAGTCCAACCGCCACTCCCGTCGATATACCAACGGAAGAGGGAGATGGTGGCGATAAAGATCCGGCACCGCTAGAGGGACTTTCTGGAGGTGGAGGGCCGAGAGTAGGCGTAGAGGGAGGCGGCGGAGTTGAAGGGGTAGAAGGAGACGGAGGCGGAGGAGAAGAAGGCTTTGAGGGAGGAGGTGGAGGTGGAGAAGAAGGGGTAAAGGGAGGTGAAGGAATAGTTGGAGATGGAGGCGGAGGAGAAGGCGTCAAGGGAGGTGAAGGAGGCAGAGGAGAAGGTGTGAAAAGAGGTGAAGGAGGCAGAGGAGAAGGCGTCAAGGGAGGTGAAGGAGGCAAAGGAGAAGGCGTCAAAGGAGGTGAAGGTGTCAACGGAGGTGGAGGAGGAATGGGTGTAGGCGGAGGCGGAGAAGGAACAACGGGAGGCAAAGGTATAGGAGGAACAACGGGAGGCTGAGGTATAGGAGGAACGACGGGAGGCAAAGGTATAGGAGGAATGATAACGGGAGGCTGAGCTATAGGAGGAACAACGGGAGGAAGAGGTATAGGAGGAATGATAACGGGAGGCTGAGCTATAGGAGGAATGGGAGGAAGTGGTGGTGGAGTTGACGGAGTAGAACCCGGAGACGGCGCAGATGACATCTCTCCACACCAATTACAAAAACTACGACAGAATCAGAAGATGAATGTTAGAAGCGGGAAAAGAGATGTGATCATCATTTGCTGCCACCAAGACTAAGAGTTTGAGTTTTGATTACTTCTTGTCGTAATTTGGACAATGGACTAGTCAATCATTATAAACAAAATGTTTGGTCGATATATAGATGCATACGAAATGCTCAAACATTTACTGTTCTAACTTCTCTAAGTCTATTAACAAATTGAATATAGGAGAGCTAAGGAAATTAAGAACAAGAGATTGCACCAGCATAATTACCAAAGCCAACTATTATTTATTTTTATTTTTTAATTTAATGTTAAATTATATTTAAAAGAAAAAATAAGCGTTTGTACTATTAGTGCAACGTTTTATCGAAAAATTTGTTGAAAATAAATAATTTGATAAAAATCAGAAACTAAATCAGCTTCTAGACCGGAACCAAGCTTGTAGTCCGAAAGCCAACTATTATTACATTGACGTTTCCACTAATTTATAGTGTTACTATATTTAACATCAAGTTACAACAAAATAATCTAGTCAACCTCAAACGGGCAGTAAATAAGTATTTTGTTAAATCATTTTTTTTTTGTTAAATCATATCTTATCAAGAGGTTCTTAAAAACTGGCCAATTATATCAAATGTGATTTGGTCTAATTTCCAGATAATGTATTTGCTCTTCAGATAAAATAATAGTATATGTCTTAAGTAAATAATTATCCTTATTGTATCCGGGTCAATAACCTATACCATTCTTCTAATTATCTTTCTTAAAGCAACCCACGAGACGCTTAATCTAAAGAAAAAAAGAAGTCAACTACGTAATTGAAATGATAATTTGTCAAGTTTGATTTGGTCAAATCTTTTGTTTTTGTCAAATTGATTCCACTTCATATTGATTGATATGCAAATACCAATTGAATTTTAAACAAATAAACCAAAGTGATGCACAATTAAGTATAACCGATAAATTGCACACGGTCCCTTTTTAACTCCATATATATTTTTGAAAGCTTAGTAAATTACTTTAAGCTATCAATAAAAACACACACATTCTCACGTTACATATTACACAAAACATATACTACTAATGGACACACTTCATTATCTTAGTAATACGATCATATATATAGACAAGAAGCTCTTATGAATTTAATTCTTAAAACTCGAGGAGACGCCTCATGACACCAAGCAGTTCCAAATGCGAGGTCATCTGTGGAAAATGCCCGATGGCGTCTTCGATGATCTCCACCGTCGAGTTCCCTTTAATCTTCTCCTGCATGAAGTACGCGACGGAGACAGGCACCACGACGTCGTTTCCAGTCTGTATGACGTGACAAGGCACTGACACTTGTCCCAAGAGCTCTCTCTCGTCGCTACCAAAAACTATCTTAGCTATGGCAAGAGCCGTCTCGGGCTTCATCTTCTTAAGGCACTTCTCAAACCTTTGGACTGAGTCAGAATCTCTCGGGTCGACCACGATGGATGAGAAAGCAACCGCCCATGCTTCGTAGTTGGAGCCAATGTTTGAGATGATTGTGTCGATGTCTTTTGACTCAAACCCTCCTTCGTAGTCCTCACAGTTTATGTACCTATTTGCATTTCCATATAGTAACGTTACTGATTTGATCATCTAAATATAATTCGTACGTTGCATTAGAACGTATATTTATAGTCAAACATTATCAACTTTTGCATTAATTATACTCACCTATAATTATAATAAATATCTAAAGTAATCAGTCAAAATATGATACTTTGAACAATTAATTCCCATTCAATAATTTTCTATATATATGAAAAGTAGTGTGTTTTTAGTGGTCCACGTGATATATTAAGATGGGTTAAGTTTTAGTACTTCTAACTTGAAAAACAACTGATAATATATTGATATGCATGTTCTCTTCATACAAAACACACACATGTGCCATATTGGTATGCATGTAACATGCACATATATGTATGTATGTTAGTAGTATATGTGCGTAGACTGCAGGGAATTAAGTTGGAAGTAGGACAAGATGTGGTGATCATATGTCATATTCATCCAATAAGCTAGAAGTTGACAATGTCCACATGTTCTACACTTGGCAACAGTACTACACTAACATTACATATAGATATCATCCACATAAAAAAAAACCATTTAATATAGTATATTATCGTAAAGCATACGTTTTTTGTCTTCTTCATGAAACACATATTCACGAAGGAATATTATACGATCGATGAAATGTATAACTTTACGAATTTAGATCTCTCTTTCGAACGTAAGTTATAGTTCTTAATCATCTGTTTTCATTATATTTATCTACCTAGATGATATTATCTTCAGAACTGGATTACACACATGTATTTGATTTTCACTTCTGATTATAATTAAGGGAAGTGATAATTAGTAGGAGTGAGCATACCTGGGAGAAGCACCAACGAGAAGAAGACTTGTAAACAAGTCGGGCCTTTTAATAGAAGCAGCACAACCGATCATACCCGACATGGAATGGCCTACGAAAACGACCGGACCAAACTTCAACTCCTCCATAAGAGCAATAAGATCATCTGAGAAAGCATCTAAAGAGTTATACTTTGAAGGGTCATAAAGAGTTTGGTCTTTAACGGCTCCAGAGAAAAGCCAGTCAAAGACCAAGATTTTGAAAGATTGGGACAAGACCGGTATCATCTTGTCCCAAACCGACTGGTCGCCTCCAAAACCGTGTGCCAAGATCATTGTTCTCTCGCCAGAACCGATGATTTTGGCGTTCATAGCGGATGCAAGGCCGGATATATTCTGATTAACCACCATGCTTACAAGAGAGTTTTGTTAGATGGGACAAGAGCTTTGATAAGTTGTGTGCGTATATATAAAGAGAGAAGAGAGATGGATTAGGTTTATGGTTCTTAATTGACATCCAACCACCGATTTTATTAGGCTCGCATTTTTTGTACATCCAAACATTTATGGCCTTTTCAACAATGGCTGTTTTTGTATTCATTGTCTATCTACATAGCATCTTAGCGAGGATAAAACAATACCCATCATAAAAAATAAATTATCTATGTGAAAACGAATCTCTACTTTTTGGTATAAAGAAGGTATATTTATTTTGGATTCGAGATAAACAATATAAACTACTTTTGTTTGTACGTGAAAAATGCATAAACTAACATAAACCATTAATCTAAATCATGTTGTAGTCAATGAAAATGAAACACAATGACGAATTCTAATAAATTAATTAACATCAATGTTTTATTAATCATAGAAGTACTCGTATAAGAAAACGTATAAGATGATGACCTTTCGCTTTACAATGATACAACCATTTTTTGTTTATATCCCCTAGACTACTCTTACGTAAGGTCGATATTTTTTGTTGTTGCTATGCTAGTAATATGTTTATAATAAGTCTGAAAACACATATTTAGTGGTATACACAAGTGATCCTCTTTATTTGATATTTCAAAAGTAGTAGCTGTGCATGGAGTCAATCTCGCCACCACCAACTGGGAAAAATTGGTATTAAAAAATTGTATGAGATTAAAGAAAAAAAAACGTTGTACTTATTTGACTTTTCTTGAAACAAATCTTTTAAGCTATAGCTGCAAATACTTCACTCAAATATGGCTATGATCTCTTAAAAGATGAATTGTAGGTGTTGTCTTAAATGCTTATCAGAACTATGTTAATCATTCAAGCAATAATAAAAGATGCTTAACAAGAACTAACAATGAACAAGATTCTCCAAACTCTAATCTTAGTGATAGCAAATGAGAAGAAAGAAGCTCTAGCCTCTAAAATGTTAAAAACGAAAAGTGTAAGGTCCCAATATTAGTTCAAAGGTTAAACCAGAGATAGTTTGGTCCAAAAGAAAAAGACAAGAGGCACACAACCGCACATGAGGAATCTGCAGGACCAGACCGCAAAAGTTTAGTTTTGTCCATACCTTGTCATTTTCTTCTTCCTAATTTGGACCAATCACTAATTCACTATTCCACCACAAGTTCAGAAAAAATATATTTGAAATTTCCAATATCCTGATTTTTGACTTAGAGTAAAAATAGATTAGAATAAAAGTTACATTTTAGTTTAGTTAATGTACAAGTACAAATTTAAAGGTTGATATGTTAAATACAATAAAAAGCTTGGGGTTGTCGTGTAGTAATTACCTTGTCGGCTTGTCCATTCACACATCTTTCTTTTTTTAACTTTACCCAAATTAGTCCATTTTCACACCATCACTTCTTGATATATATATAGTACTTTTGAGATTGTAAAGTTAAACTTTCAGGAACCCTAGTTACAATAGTATTCCATACACATTGACATAGATCATATAAATACATAAGACTCCTCCTAATCAAGAATATGTCACGCTTGTATGGTATCATCGTCTTTTGTTTTCTCTATCAAAATTTTTAACATTTTCTATACATTAGTTTTCTCTATCAAGTTCATCATAAAACGATTCAGTGTAAAGTAACATCTCGGTCAAAGAATGAAGAAATAAAAGAATAGAAACATCTTTAACTTTCTAGTTATTACATACAAAATGAATAACTCAATACCTTTTGTAAATTGTAAATCACGTTTTGAGTTAAGGAAAGAAGAAAAAGATAGTTGAGATTTTCTTAACTTTTGTCTTAAGATAAGATTTTAAGCTTTCCAAAACCACAAAAATTGGGAATTGATGTGTTAGAAACATAGAATGAGACAACTGAATAAAAATGAGAGAAGAGAGTACAACTACAAATTGCCTTTTGCTTTTAAAAGCCGGTTCCTACTCTCTTTCCCCGACATAAATGACTTCTATTAACATTACCAATCATCTCTCTATCCCATTACAATGCTATATACATACATACACACATGCACCACCACCACGTGTTTTGTTCCATTAATCATCATATTACCCCAATCTCTAGATTCCATTTCATGTTACTACTTCTTTTGTAAACTCTTTTGATTCACAAGTTGTGATGAATGATGACTGACAAATCCAGCCAAGTCGTAGTGAAGTCGCCCTAGACATAAGAAATTTCTATATATAACAACAATATGAGTTCTTTTCACATATCTTGAAGATTAGTTTGGACAAATAAAACAATATAATTTCATCATGGTTTTTTTTTCGTGTTTTTTGGTTTTTAGTTTGCAACGATTAAAACGGGGTTAGTATGTGTTATTGGTGAAACGACCAAGTTTCTTCTTCTGCACATGCATGGTCCACGATCATGTGTTTTGATCAAAATGAAAAGTTATCATCATTTATTACGAAAATGACATACAACTTCTTCTCTTATAGTATTATCACCCATGTACGTCCGACGTCCACACAAATATGCCTTTATGAAAAGGTTATATATCGCCTTTGCAATGCTGTTATGGTGTTAGCTAGTAGAGTTATAGACTAATCAAGTTCTAGTGCAAAAGCTATGGATACAACTGTAGTTTATATAAGGAAAACGTTAAAGCTTATATTTATGGTTACTCTCTTTGCAAGTTTTCATAACTATGCTTCAATTGAATGTATTTTCCTTGATATGAATGAATATACAAATTCTGTTCTTCGAGAGAGATCATAAACGGGAAAAAACTATTGTTCGTTCGAGTATCAGACTTCGACTGGAGACAGTGGTGGAACTTCTACTAGCCGTTCAATTGTTTCCAGCTGATCATATGGAGCAATCTGCAGAAGGGACCAAACCCAAGACTCATAAACATCTCAACATGTTCTGGTTTCTTTGTGTTAGTTTCTGATTTCAAAGTTTTATTAAATATACCTGGCTAAAACCGTCTGGCCAGGTTATTGAGACAGCATAGTTTCCCATTGGCCGTATGTCATCTGGTTCGATATCTTCTGCTATATCCCCATATTGAACCTTTTGCTCTCCAGTCCATTCGTCCTGTTTAACAAAGATCCAGAAATTGACATTTTGAATTCTTGTTTTTAAGTTTAAAGACAGAAAACAAAGGAAGCTTCAGGAAGAAGTGGATTCTTGGGCTTAATGTCTTCCGTACCACGCTTTGGGCAGATCGATCATTTCTTCTGACGGTTGCAGGGTGCAGTAGGAACTCTTCGTCTGAGTTTGGTACCTTCACTCTAATTGCCTTGAGATATTTGTCGTATGTTACAGCCGTTGATACTGTTATAAACATACAATACACAGGAAAGAAAGAGTCTTTAACTTAACTCATTCATTGATACTAAAAGAGAAAGGAAGGTTTTTTTAACATGTTTGTTGTATGACTTTATAATAGGAGGTTCATAGTGATGAATAGTTGGGTTGTACCTTGCTGGCGTATCTTGGCACATTGTTGCACTACACATACACCAAGATCTTGGAACGTTCTGGCAACATCACTTAGTGGATCCGACACTACTTCAGGAGTTCCGCTATCCCCCGAAGCAGATAACTAACAATCAAGAAGAAATAAAAGATAAACCAGTTTAGAACAATAAGTCCAGTAATATTACTATTCAATCACTTGATAATAGGAAAGAATGATCAAAATGAGTTTTTTCCATTAACTAATGTCAAAAGCTAAAGATGCAACTGTGATATTTCATAAAAGTCGACATCATATGGAAATATACATACCGTTGGTCTAATGGGGAGGTCAAAGAGGTGAGGTATGCCGAATTGCTTGACAACCTGCAGCCAGAGATGTATTGTCAGAAGTTATCTAAATGTGCTTAATGTACATGTTCCTGTTGAAATTTTCAATTGGTTACTTCAAGTGAAAATAAGAGACGGCATAAATCAGCTACCTCTGAACCTGAACCTTTCCCAAAAGGATAATAACGTTTCCCATCAGCGTCAAAGTGGCACATATTCTCTACAACAGCAACGCAAGGCACCTACTCCGCAAAACCAAACAAGAAAATAATCTAGGAAGTTCATATCTGTTTGTTGCAAAGTAAAGAAGAAAAGCAAGTTCACAAGCTCTATATCAGGAAAATGATACTTTATTGAATAGGGAAAACACCTTTAGCTTTGAGAACATTCGTACACCTTTAGCAACATCGATAAACGCCAACTTTTGAGGGGTGGTGACAATTACTGCTGCTGTTAGAGGCGCAACCTGATACCATGCATATCATAATAGTATAAGATACATCAAAAAAGAAAAAAATGATCAATGAATAGCCATAGCATCTAGCAGAAGCAAAGTTATTCAATTGTTACATGCTACAGAACAAGCGTGTGCACAAGTATATTTTGCATTTACTTTCACTATGAATCTGACTGAATGCTGCAGTCGCGAACTACAAGTATACATGATTGTATGATCTTCAGAGCCGAACCTGACATAAGGTCAGTTGTATATCACCAGTTCCAGGAGGCATGTCGATAACAAGATAATCCAGCTCTCCCCTGCATCAAATTCCCCTTAAGATTATGAATACTACTGGAAAAACATGAAGTCATGATGTTACTGAAATGAACAAACCATTCAGTTGTCGTCAGAAGTTGGTTTATAACACCAGACACCATAGGACCTCTCATTATGGCACGCCCTTGTCCTGCAAATCCAAATGAGACCAGCTTGACCCCCATGTATTCTGTTGGAATGATGGTCTTCTTCTCCGGGTTCTATTGAACACACAAAAAACTCAAAAAGTTAGTCTTTTGGTGTTACTGCTATCAGAAGGTGAGTCAGAATATAATTACCATTTCCAGTATACGGCTCTCAGGATTGACCATGGTTGGTAAACTTGGACCATAGACATCCGCATCAAAGATGCCAACTCTAGCACCCATACCAGCTAATGTATAGGCAAGATTTACGGCTACTGTTGATTTTCCAACACCACCCTGAAATGTTCATCTAACAACAGCGTGTCATAAACTAAAGGGATGGAAGTAAAGAAAGATATGGCAGATAAGTTTCTAGTCTCAAAAGAAGAAAGACCAAATCCTGTTTTATTTATATCTACCCTATATCCATTAACTGGTTAACAAAAATAAGAATTCAACAACGAACTAAGAAATAACCATAACTACTTTGGCACAGGAGCATGTAAAATTCAAAATTGCATAGCGTTCCATAGTTACTAAACTATAAGTACAAACTTCAGTACAAAAAGAGACATCAAGAACTACAAAGAATGGGAATTTATTTGAAGATATATGTACCTTGCAACTTGAAACAGCGATAATGTTCGAAATTCTTGATAAACCAAGGGGAAGCTGCCCTGCATATATGGGTTTGGCTGGTTGTGCTGACATTGTCACATTGACCTTCTTCACCCATGGAAGTGCTGCAACTACCTCATTTGCCTTGTTCTCAAACTACAAAACAATTGTATCATATCATATTATAATCCATCAAAAACTAGAATCTACTAAAGACAGATTCATTACTTATATAACTTAGGATAAAGCTCCACATTTTAATAAGTAGTAGTAGTGTGATAAAACAATATTGGATGCTTTTGTCATGTACCATGTCCTTGACTGGACAAGCCGGTGTTGTGAGCTCCAAACGGAACGAAACCTACAACAGAAGACAATAAACATGTTTCAGCCTTGAAAAACAATCTAAAACAGAACAATTTGGTATTTTTTACCTCTCCCAAAGCCTCATCAATTCCCAAATCTTTCACAAAACCACAAGAAACTATATCTGTCCCAAAATCAGGATCAATGATCTGAGACAACGCCTTCAACACATCTCTTTCTGATGTCGTAGCAACACTCTCACCAGTACCACTAGCTGTGCAAAATAACCACCCAAACATAAGCATAACTAGCTCCTTTGATGTAGTAGCTCAGACGCAGACCCGACTCAATCAGACCATAACCACAAAAAGATACAACTTTGAGGCCAAATAGTGAAAAAGACACAAGCTTTATTACCTTGAGCGGAAACAGAATTAGATACAGAGAGATTCTGAGAGACCCGTTTGAGTATTCGTGTCCTGGAGATTGAGATGGTGGAAGACTGAGAATGGAGAAACTTGTGAGAAAGTGACAATCTTGAAGTGGAATTGCTTCTTGTGGTTGTTGACTGAAACACGATAAAAGGATGCCGCAGCGACTGAGGATGAAGAAGCGGCATGCTAGAGAAGAGAGAAGAAGAGTGGCAAAACCAAAACTAGCGGTCTGTAATAATTTGATCATGGCTTACTCTTTTAAAAGATAAAACCTTTTCAAAACTTTTTTTTTGGTTTTTTTTTTAATTATTATTTTTTAATTATTATTATTATTCTTTTTGATACCGTTAAAATTTAAAATTAAATTATTACGTTCAGAAAATAATTTCTTCACACAACTAATTAGTAATTGCATAGAAGAAAAACTATGATGTAGTTAGTGAGCTTGAAATCAAATTAATTAAAGGGAACACATATAAATAATATGATGCCTAACCCAAAATGTGACAGTCTGGTCAAACACAAACCCTTAAACCTAAATTTCCTTCATAAAAAACCATAAGTTAATTCCTAAACAAAGAACCATAAGCTAATTTTAGATTAAAATAATCAACCAACAAAATCAAAACAGAGAAAACAGAAGATATATTCATTAATTTTTGAGAAAAAGTTGGAAAATAACTTATATCTTCTTATAGTTTTGAAACTACTCTCTTTTTGTTTCATTTAAGAACTATTTCTATAATACCCATATTACTAAACTAACATTAATAATAATTAACAAAAATCTATATTTTATATTAAAATATCAATTTATTGGTATTTAATAAAGAATTAATTTTACAAATTTACTCAATCTGATATGTAATTAACGATTGCAAAGATTATTATCCTATTTATTTTCAATTATGTGAATCATATCAGTACACTTCTCAGACTTCAAACCACATGCAAACATAAATTATGGTTATTGCATTAGAGTATTAGACCATCTCCAATAAGGCAATAACCATTTTTATTTTGTTAATTTTTTTTTCAAAGTTTAGTTATAAACAATTTTTTTTTTTGGTTTTTCAATGTTAAGAACTTCATTAAAGTTTCTTAACTAATTTATTCCTCTCCCATAGTAGTACTCCTAATGAGATTCTTAAGAAAAATATTTTAAAACGATATGTATTAAGTATTGATAAACACATTTAAATTAACATGACCAATACTTAGAAATCCTCTTTTCTTAAACATAGTCTTTTCTTTCGATGTTAAAATAAAATAACATGACCAACACATTTACTATACTGGTTGCAGCCAATTTGAGTATGGCCAAAATAGTATCTAAAATCATCAGCAGCAAACTTACATTGCAATTGTTTTTTCAAATAAGCATATTTCGTTCAGTTGATATGTTAGAAATTTTTATATTTTCTTTGCTTTATATTATTACTACATAACATGATAAATATTAGGCTACATATTTTATAATATATTTAGATACTATCTTCTTGAATTTTAATATAATAATTAATAGAAATTTCTCTTACAAGAAAAAGTTAAAATACTAATAAATAATCAAATAAATTGTTGTTTTTTAAAATAAAAATTATGGAGTATCATTTTAATTAATGTGTGTGGTTGACGAGAAATAGATATGAATTTTTTATATAAATTTTTGAATTTATTTTTGATTTACAAAAAAAAAAATCATATTACATATATAGAAAATGTAATTTTTATTTTAATAGAAGAAATGAATATTTTCAAACATATAAACAAAAACATGATAGTTAACAAAATGTTAGAATCAATGTTCAAATACTTGATAAGTTGATAAATGGTTCGGAGAAAACTCTTTATAAGTGTTGTTCACAAGAGATATGATACAATATATAGATGATAGATCTCAAATTATATTTCAACTAACAAACATGTTAAATAAATATTTAAAATCTCTTTATCCTAACACAATATAAATTCTAGATTTATATAATTTACTTATTCATGTTCATTTTCTAGTCTCATAAAGTTAAGCATAAGTTGATTATATATATTGTATCAATTCTCTTGAGTCTTGAGAGATCAACAATACTAAAAAAGAATTTTCTATAGTAGGTCATGTAATATTTGGTTATACACCCAAAACACTACCATTCTATATTTCTATGTAAGGTTTTACATGTTTATACAAAATAAAATGTTATTATAGTTTGGAAAAGATAATATCTAGTTTATAAGATGTTGTTTACTATGATAAGTATTTGAACACAATAATTCCTAATTCTGAAACAAGCAAACCTTTTAGCGATTGTAAAGGATCAATTATGAGTTGGGACTTTTTTTAGTGACATATTTTGGTTTTGCCATTTTTTTTAATAAAATTTTATAGATTTACCATTTTTGTAGATTAGAAAAATATGATTAAAAATTTATTTTACTCGTTATGCTTGGGTTTAATCGGTTCTAATTATCTTTAGGGTTTAGTATTTATTATAAAATACGTTTTTAGCACAAAAAAAAAAAAAATCAAAAATAGATATATTTAAAAGTTCAAAAATGGCAAATCCATAAGATTTTAGTAAAAAATGATACATTCGTAAAATTTTCGATAAAAAATGGCGAAAAGGCATTTTTCGTAATAATTCCATTGTAAAATCTTCCACCAACTTGCTAAAAATAGATATACCATTTCCATGTACTGTAATTCGCAATTGATTTTTTTTTTTTATCAAAGGCTTAATCCCACTTAATTCTTACAAAACCCACATTGGCCATATCTGACTATTTTGGCTACCCTACGATACAAGTTGGCTTATCATATTAAACCTTCATAGATATAACAAACAGGTCATACCGTCATAGTGACTTACTAAGTGCACAACAGAGAAAACTCACATGACCTCTTTAGTTTTATAGATATGAACAGATACAAGGAACAAAGGCAAAAGTACTTGCCATAAGGAAGTCTTTTTTTTTTTTTTATGTCAAATCCTAAATCTAAAACCCAATCCAAAGAGATTGCAATGTGGTCAATCCTGTGGTCCAAATTGATGATAGAAATCCGAATCCACGGTAGAGAAATCGTGGACTATTATGGTCTAATCATATTATTCATACTAAGAAAGAATGTGGTTGAATGGGAAGCTGATTAGTGTGAGATTATTACTCCATTGTTTGGCCTTTTGGTTGAGATAACATCAGCGAATGCATCAAGAAGCTGGCCAGCAAGGCTGCTTGGATCATCCTCTAGAGTCTGCACAAATGTACTCACAACGGACTGCTCCTGAACGGTTGAGCTCAGGCTGAACCATGTCAAGAACCTGACCCTGAATATTTTATCAATGTGGCCTTCACGCTCCAGCCACCTGATCACCTTCACACATTTTTCAAGAGTGTCATCAATCGACGAACTATCACATTCATGGTTCTCTGAGTCATTACTGGTAGAAATAGCTTTCCTCTTCCTGGTCATAAGGAAATCAAACGCAGGATCGTCACCACTCCCATCTGATATTACCAAGCAGTTGTTGTTCGTCTTCCGTTGACCGTTGGACACAGCATCATCATAGTTATCATCATCACCATCAGCCTCAGCAACTGAATTTAACGGCACTCCATTGTCTTCACCTCCAGAGGAATCAGGTGGAGGAGTTAGTTCCTCGTTCAAGTCTGGCACTGAAACTACATTTAGATCAAACTCATGCGGCCGTCGAGATGGCAATTCTACCTCTGGCTCACGGGTTTTCTCACTATCTACATTGTAAAACGCCTCAAGCAAGCCTTCCTCCTGGGCTTCAGCCAGCTGCACATACTTCGAAAGTTGCGCGATTTGGAATCTCGAGGAAATGCTACTCTTCTCCTCTCTATCTGAAGGCTGATCATTACCTACTAAATCAGCTATTCTCTTGTCCTTACTACCCACTGATTGCAATATCTCAACGCTCTTTGTAAAGCATGTAGCGTTGGAATGGCCATATATACCAGCTTCTGTGTAAGAGACAACACGGAATGTGTACTGTGTGCAAGGCGCAAGGTCAGATATTACCATCCTTATCTCAGTTCTACTGCAATCAATAAATAAATCATCCTTAGGCTTCTCTCCTTTCTTGAAACACCATAACTTGTAACCCTTAACATCATTTTCTGCAGCACTAGGTAGCTCAACTAATCGAAGAGTCACTTGTGTTTGTGCAATATCTTCAAAATGAAACCTGCACGCAGCAGGAATTGAATCTGCAAAAGAAAAAAACATAATAGTAACTTATATCATCATTTTCTCTTTCAGACACATTGCAATTAACATGTCTCTAATACAAACCTATGGCTGTACTGACTGACAGTTTCTCTGCCTCTGTTATTGCAGAGGTGCAGAGCCCTTGTACCTCGCCTGCTACAGAAAGTCTACTAACAATACCCCTATCGTTTCTAGCAGCAGGTTCATCAAGAGGCCCGACTTCAACTTCCAGCTTAGACTTAGCATCGCATACAATCTTATGCAATTCACAAAACCGACTAGTGCCATCAAGCATTCTATAACTCAATTCTATCCTATAACACAGAACATCACGCCGTCTTGCTTCCTTAGCTACCATAAGCTGCTTCTTCCAACATCTTCATGAACACACACACACATTGAGTTACATAAAGCCATAAACATTGTATCCTCAAAGAAAAGAGCAAAGGAAGAAACTTTACCCAAGAATTTGAGAAACTTTGCCACAAGAGTAACAACAGAAACATCCATCAAGCTTAATCAGATCCGCATTACTAGTAACTCCAACCTTTTTTTCTCTAAAAGCACACTCAATGTGACACGACAAGCCACAGAACTCAAAATCATCAGGTTTCTCAGCTTCACAAACAAACCAAAGACTAGGATCCTTGTTTTCATCGAAATTATGGCACACACAACAAGAACACCTCTTGCAAAAGGAATCATCTTTAGGCACATTAGCTCTGCAAGATGCATTCTTGCAGATCCATGATGATCTCAAACACCCACCATCTTCTTCATGTTGCTGTTGTTGTTGCTGTTGTTTCTTGCTAAGCTGTTTCCCATTTGATTCGTGCTTCTTGTTTGACTTGTTGTTCGTCTTACGTGATTGCGAGATCTTCGATTTCGTTGAAGATGAATCCATTCTTCTTGTTTACAAAAATTCAAAGTCTTTGTAGCTCTTCTTCATCGAGAAACCATGATTGTGTCGTCGTTTTTGATTCAGTGTAGAAATTTCGGGACATGATTCAGCGATTCGATCTACCGGAGGTGTTTTTCTATGAATCTGGCGTCGCCTGAGAAAACATAGCCGCGGCGGCTCAATTTGGGGGAAAGAGAGAGACGAAGGAGATGAAGTTTAGGAATTCTAGGGTACACGTGTCAATTATTTAAATTATTATTTTTTGATCGTAATCTTTTTTTATTGGGTAACTTGATAAATGACAATTACTACATCAGATTGGGCTTTTTTACTCATAGGGGCCTCTATTTATAAAGCTTTCAAGGTTTAACCTAAACTTTCTTAATGGTTCTATAGCTAAGCTTTAAACTTCGGTTTATTTTGACAATTCATTTCAGGTAATCCGGTTAGTTCAGAAATTCAAATTGTTATAAAAAAAAAACCAAAACAATTAACGATTTGGTTCAGTTATCGGGTTTTCGGTTAACTTTTTTTGTTAATTGAAATTTTGAATCTTTTGTTTAAATTTAGTTAAATCTGGATAATTCTGGCTAATTTGGTTAATTCAGTGCATGAATAGATTTTAAATCTCGGTTTATATCAATCAAATCAGATTTTCGATTAGTTAACGATTCGATTATTTGTTGCCGAACCGAACCGAATAGTTAACTGAATTTATTTTGTATCTTGTCTAATTCTGCTATAACCAAACTTGAACCGATTTACCCAAATTTATTTTGGTTCAGTTTGGAAAATTCGGTTCGGTTTTATTTCTCAAGTCTAGTTAATTTATTTAATCTTTCCGGTTGCTGACTTCAACAATAAGAATGCTGGAATAAATAGTTGATGAAAATAAATTTATTAAATAAAAACAAAACAAAACTTTGAATTAGAAAATAATGTTACTTGTCAGCCTGATATTGTGAGTTTAGGTCAACAAAACAAAAAAAAAAATTCTAAAATGATAATATTATTTTCGGTGTAAAATGGTAACAACCAACTCTTTTGTTTATACAAATGGCAACAACCAACACAACACAAGTGAAAACTTCCAACAACTTAAATTAGTTGTGCCGATGATAAATGTGAACACTATTTTGAGATGGTAAAAAATTACGACATATAAACTTAAGTAGAATCAATGTTTGGTGTATACTGAAACCAAACCAGAACGTGAAAACAAGTGATTCCTATAAAAAAGACATTGTACAAAAAAAGTCAAAATGAAATCTGACATTGAATCCATAAATTGAACTGATCTCATTTCAAAGCTAAAAGATTCTTTAAACGAGGCAATGTATCATCATCTACCTATGGCATATAGGACTATAGGAGGGGGCTTCTCTTCTTCTTATGGTCCACCACAGTTCGCACGACTTCGATCGAGTCCAATATTTTAAAGATGTATGTAACCAAAAACAAAGTTCTATAAGATAAGATGTATTATTACTAGTCAAATTGTTGTTATTAGACTTTGATGACTCTCAAAACTAGAAGTAATTATATAGTACTTAAGCATGTGCATGTATTTACTACTTGGTTGATGACTTATAAATATATTAACACTAACATAACCACAGCCACTTGGTGTTAGTATTACTAAATAATTTCACCCAAATACACAATTTGTTAGAAATCCCACATCATATCAAAAATGTTACTTCAAGTAATATAAAAATGAAGAGTCCATCCGAAGTTGGAAATTCATAGATAGATACAAATATGGTTTCATAGTTAGTCATTTTAATAAGATGTGTTAGAGATATGATTATTTGACATTGTGATTGTAAAACAAAAAAAAAAACGAAAACCATTCTCATTAATTTATATAAATATGATTAATGAGATAGATTCAACATTACAACCTATAATGGATCCAAAAAAGAACAATGAGGGATAGAGAGATTTAGAGGAGATAGAGATGCATGCATGTGTATGTACGCACATAACTAGATAATGATAACATGAAGATAGAGATTGACATGAAAGGCCCATGTGAAATAAGAAGAGAGAAGACTAGAGTGATAAGACTTAAGAGTGTGATATTAGGAAGAAGAAGAAGACCAAAGCTGAGCATTCTTGACTTTACAAATACTCTCTAACACATCTATTGGCATTATGTTCCCTTTCACCACCACCTTCTTGCTCTCTAGCTCGACTTTGTACCATGTCACTCCTGTTCAAGTCACATCCATTTTCATTACTTTCACAAACATTTCTTCTTTAGAAAATGTAATAAATCATTTATATTATAAATAAAATAAAAACCAAAAGAGTTCTTTTAAATGTCAGAACTCTGCAATGTTTGAATTTCTGTTCTACATGTACAAATTTATTAAAATATATATATATTATTCATTGTCATTTCTTTCTTACAACCAAATGATTGCAATTATCATTAAGAGTTAACAAGATCTATGTTTATCCCTAATTAATACTACTAACCATATGAAACTTTCAGTAAAAAAGCTACATTCTATGGACCTTTTCTCAACAATTCAGCTTCACATTTTGGAGTTAGGCATAGAAAACTACAGAACCATTTTGGTTCGTTCTTTGAACTATACTACTACTGCAATTATTGAAGAGGACTCATCATGTCATATGTAATATAATTTGTATAAATGTTTTTTTTTTTCCATAAAAGAAGAGCCTAAAGAAATAAAGAAGATTTGGCGTTACCGTCTAATTTAGAAATATGCTTCTCGACTTTCTTAGCACATCCGTAGCAATGCATTGACACCTTTAGCTCCACTATCTGCCATACATCACCATTCCCATATTTACAATTATTTTATAAACCAAAATCAAAAATACATTAATCTATATAATTTTGGGAGAAACTAATTAATGTGTGGGATAACAAGAAAAAAAGAGCCCTCACACAACTTTTGAAGAGCTAAATAAAACATATATTTTTCACTGTTTCCCAAATATTTTGCTTTGTGATAAGCATTTTTTTACAAAGCTCAAGAAATTTATCATACGTCATATAATGTTTTAGGATGTTGATTTAGTGGGTTATAATAATATATATACCTTAGGCTTAAGATGAAAGGCAAGAGTCTGACGATGATCAGCAGCTACAACATCTTTTAATCTCATGACTTTTCCAGATTTCTCTGTTGAAGAATCTATCAATGGCTTCTTCTCAAACTCTTCATCTTCTTCATCGTCTCCTAGTGTGTTTAGACAGAAACATGAACACTGATTTGTAGGAAGGAAAAGACAATCCCATACTCTCCCAATCTTCTGGAGCTTACCCATTAGAAAACTAATCAAGAGAGTGTGATAAGTTTGGATGATGTTGGGAAGAAGACTAATAAAAAGGAGATGGGTGAGAAAGGAGAGAATATGTGAGAGAGAAGAAGTACTTGCTTGTATTACACACTTACACTGTCTTAAAGAGATGAGAGAGATAGAGAGAATATAAGAGGTGTGTGAATAAGTCAAACATTGAAATGATATTGTAGAGACCAATGAATTTTACAACTAAAAAAAGGTTAAATCTATCATTAGATCTAATGTTAACTTTTGTCTTTAGTTTAGTTTAGAGTTAAGTGGTGAACCAATATTATTATAAACTTCTGATTAGTATGGAGAGTGTAACCACTAATTAAGTAGCTTATCTTTTGTGTTACTTTTAAAACATTGCACAATGTCATTGTCAAATGGAGAGAAATGTATGTGAAATAACTGGTTTAGAAGCATACAATTATATATGGTAGATAATATGATATGACAAGTGATAAAAGAAAGAAAGAAAAGAAGAAGACATAAGTCACATCTCCACGTTCAACAACTCTCCAACATTGACAACAATTTTCTTATGTCATTTTGAAATTAAAACTTTTAAAATTTCAATATAATTCATAATAATGATAAGAGTGAATTAGTGAGTGAGGCATGTGATGCAAGCTAAGTTTAGTGTGTGACTTGTAGAGATAAGCATCTTCTCTTTTGGCTTCACTCTCGCCGCTCGACATATTACATTTTTTTATTTTGATCATCCCATCTCTTTGTCTCTATATACATGATTCGGCTAATTAAATAAAACACATTCAAAAAATTAGTAAACGCTTCGTCTTTGTATGTTAAGTATATAATCTATACTTCTAAATCTCTCATAGAGACTCATATTATAGATAAGATAAACCTGATATTTTAGAACTCCCCCAACCACAAAAATTGAGTAAACTTATATATATGTGAAGAACATGTGAGAGTACCGGAAGAAGGTATAATTATATAATATGCTATAATTGGCTAAGTGCTTTAGGTTAATCACGTGAAAAGACAAATGCATAATTCTTATTCTGCATGCTAAAACATGCTCTTTTTATATTTCCATGCTTAATTATCGAAGCTACATTAATTATGTTCCTACTTCATGTGCTTTATATCATCACTTAATTTATTTATTTAATTTCTGATATATTTATCAATCCTTATTAGCTGGTTTTAATGCTTATAAAATGCATAAATATATTTTATTCTATTATATGTAAGGAGTGCCAAAAACTGAACAAAGAAACACACCCAAGAAAACAAAAAAAAAAAGATACGTAGAAGATTAAAAATAATCAGTTTGATTTGGTCGAAAATTCAAGTTTTTCTTTAGCATATTAAAAATATAATTTGGTATGTTTTTGTGAGAAGTTAGTAAAAACTTCAAAGAAGACTCATTCTTGTGTATAAAAAAAGTTGGCATCAGCACCGCCCACTCTATTATTATTGTACGCATGGCCTCATTGGTCCAACTCACTCTTTTTTTTTTCAATCTTATATTTTTATTTCACTTCTTTTAACATTTTTAGTTGCATCATAACATTTTTTTTTTTTTTACATTTTGTTTTTCCTTCTGTGCATGTCATTGCATGAATCGATTTAATATAATGAATGAATACATCGAATAAACTTCACTTGGAGATGTCAAAAATAAAATAAAAAACACAACAGATCTAATTGGCGACAAGAATCATATAATATTTTTAACAGATAAAAGAATTGATAATTAATATAAAATAGTAAGAAGCTGGATAATAAAAAAAAAATAGTATAAAAGAGCTGAGATTATTTTTTTTATTTCATTTTGGTAACTGGTTGTTTTTAAATTCGTATATCTTATTATATAAACCTTGGTTTTCAAAGTTAGCCATTAACAAGATCGTGACACGTGTCAATTATAAACTATAAGATATTGACACGTGTCGTAACTAATTTTGTTAATATTTGGATAAAATAAAAATATTATTAACCCTATCGAAAAAGAAAATATATAAAATAAATATTATAAAGAATTATATATTAAAAATTATTAATAAATTAAACAAATAACGTAATTTCAGTTATGTCAATTTGGTTTATTAATAAGATAGGGATTTAAAATTTATAATTAACAAGAATATACGGCGGTTTTTGTTTACATAAGAGGATTAAGGTTTCAACTTTAATTTTACAATTAAATCAGGTTATTTGTTGGTTTGGGTATA